TGTTTCTCCCTGCATATTTGTTTGGGCTATTGTCGTCGCCTTGCGGAAGTTGGGGTTTTTTTGGGGAGGGAGGGAGGGTAGATGCGGATTTAGGATTTAAATTTTATGAGTGCAATTTTTAAGGTTTTTAGCATTGAACTTATTATATTTTTAATGTTATGGGTTCATATCTATTATTTTTGCAATTTTAATAAATTTTTACTCCGCGTCAAAAATTATAGGTTCAATTGAAGTCGTTGGTAAAACACTGCATCCACCTTAGCATGGATAAGTTCTAATAAATTAGCCGGAGGATTACAATAGGATGTGGGTTTCCTTATCATGGCCAAGTCATCTACTTTCTACGAGGATATACTTCCAAATAAGAAGGAAATCTAAGAATCATGGAAGACGTTATCCTTATAGCTTGGAACAAAGAAAAAAAAGACAAAACAAATTGTTTTTAAACCAGAAAAATGGGCATATACTGAGAGGCGGAGCCAGGATTTGAAACTTATGGGCTCGGAATTTTATTCTTTTTAAGTTGTTGAGTTCTGAATTAATATTCTATACATATTCAATGAATTTCTTAAGACAAAATAAAGGTGTGTACGGTCAAAATCATATGCCTCCGATTTATAGGCTCGAGGGCGAGGTCGAGTTCGAGCCCGATGGACCAGACTCGAGCTCGGAGACAGAATGCAATGCCCGGAGATAGGAGTACAAGCTTATGAGAAGTCGAGCATGCTCGATCCCGAAATAGTACCTTTATGGATTTGTAACAGAATGAGCTAGATTCCTGTCATGTCCCCAAGATCATGACGCAAATCCCGGAATAGGATTGTACAATTCCGTACTAGGCGGTTAGACAACTGTATCAAGAATATTTTTTACTATAAATAGAAATATACCTTATTTAGGGTTCCCCTATGATATAAAGGGGACCAATCATTTTGTAACATCTTCTAATCATTGACAAAGAATATACTATCCTACTTTTCTCTCTTACTGATCAGAATTGTCCTTTATATTCATTGTTCTTACTTTATTGCTCTTAGCTCACCTCGAGACTACTAAACTCGAGGTCACCATTGCTAAATAACATTGGTTCGGTTCATTTATTTCTTTTATTTCTACTTCATATTTCTTGATTATTAATTGTTACTCGTAAATTGAACCTGTAACTTTAACACTAGCTTCGCCCCTGCACATGTTATTCTGAATTGTGCAAGTGCTAAGGTTTTGTGGGTATTGAAGTTTACTACCCCACTTGGATAAGCATATGACAAATTGACAACCAACACCTAAAACAAGTGCTTCCCACTTCCCTCCATTACTAATCAGTCATCTTTATCTCTTCATAAATGATCCCTTTAATCATCATTAATTATCCACTATCCCACCAAATGAGTTTTAACAGTTCTTAGATTGAGAATCTTATAGAATACTAGCACAAATTTGAGATCAGTTAGGGGTCGTTTGTTTGGAATATGATTCATACCGGTATAAGTTTATGTCGATATAAGTTATATTGGAATAAGTTATGTTGGGATTAGTTATGCTGGGATTGTTGTTTATTCATTGTTTGGTATGTTGTATTAACAATGACAATTGCATAATTTCTACGAAGAAGGTATAAGTTATACTGGTGCTAATTACCCCACCTTCTATAGTATAAGTTATCTCAGTGTTAAAATTAACATCAAAATAACTTATACCTGGTTGCTCACCAAACTGAGTATTAAGAGGATATTAAATTTTTATACCAGTCTTATATCTTCTTATACTTCATGCCAAACGATCCCTTAGTAGTTAATGAATGATTCCACGTGGGATTTTTCTGAAATGTGGGTTGAACTTGATCACATTGTCGTTCGAACAGTAGCATCAGTAGTTCGAATACTGAAGAAATAACTATTGTCTAGTTGAACATTGTTTTACTCTGTTAATTATGTGGAAAAAAAAAAAAAAAAAAAAGTGGTAAATGACGTTATCAGGGAAGCTTCAAATATTACACATAACTAATAGTCGTACCCACGTGATACGCGGTGTAATTAAATTAAATTGTGATTAGACTTATTTGAACATATTAGATCGTATTGCTTTAATAAATTTTAATTGCCATCTTATTTGTCAATATAATATATCCAATAATAAAATATTTATTAAATTAAAAAGACTTATATAATCATTGAATAATTTCTTTATTTTGTATTTTTCTTTATTATATTATCCAATATTTAGTATTATTACATTGTTAATTAAATTTTTTATTAGCATTATTACTTTATTTAATATTTTTGTCTGTTTGCTTTCTTTTCGTAATATAATAGAATATATATATTTTATTACTCTTGAAATACTTTTTTAAAATTTATTCTATTGTTCTCAATAATATTATCCGCATTTATTGAATAAAATATCTATTAAAATTATGGACGTATATAAGCATCGAATAACTTTTTTGTTCTATATATTAAAAATTTATTATATTGTCAAATATTTAGAATTATTGCATTGTTAATAGAAGTTTTTATTAGTATATTACTTTGTTTAATATTTTTGTCTGCTACTTTCTTTTTGTAATATAATAAAAAAAATATTTTTTATTACTCTTCAAAATATTTTTAAATTTTAAATTTCTATTGTACTTAATAATATTGCTTGAATTTTAATGAATAAAATCTCTATCAAATTAAAGGAACTTATATAGTGATCGAATAACATTTTTCTTCCGTATTTTTTCTTATTATATTATCCAATGTTTAGCATAATTGTATTGTTAATAAATAAAAAATTAGTATATTACTTTGTTTAATATTTTTGTCAGTTGTTTCTTTTTGTAATATAGTAGAAGATACATATTTTATTACTTTTGAAATATTTTTTATTTTTTTATTTTATTTTATTATTCTCAATAATATTGTCTGGATTTTAATGAATAAATACACTTTTATTTATAAAAAAGTGAAAATAATTTCTAAAAAAAAAAAATTAACTAACCTAAACCAACCATCGCCCATGTTTGAGTAGTTAATTTATTTGTGTCTTTTTCTTTATCATTTTTTTAAAATAATTTTTGAATCCACAAATCTATTATAGCTTTGTCCTAAAATTTGACACTTGTTAAATTTTTGTTGTTACACTTGACAACATCACATTGATTTGCTTCTCCTATTCTATACAGATAAAATAGATAGTGTCTGACCTTTAATGCTTAAAATTTTTATTAAATTAAAGGGACTTATATAGTGATCAAATAACTTTTTTGTTATGTATTTTTCTTCATTATATTATCCAATATTTAGTATAATTACACTGTTAATAAAAATTATTAGCATATTACTTGATTATTATTTTTGTTTGCTATTTTTTTGTAATATAATAGAAAATATATATTTTCTTAATTTTGAAATATTTTTTTATTTTAGATATTATTATATTTTTCTCAAATAGTGTTGTCTGAGTTTTAATGAATAAATAGATTTTATATTTCAAAAAAGAAAAACGAAAATGATTTTTAAAAGAAAAAACCAGCCCTCGCCTATGTTTGAGTAGTTAAATTTAGGTAGCTAATTTCTTTGTTAATTTTTAATAATTAATTATTAACTAAATAACTAATAATTAACTAATTATGTCATGTTGCTTTTTTCTAGGCTATCACTTGGGTTAATGTGGTACCTTTTTCTTTAGCTTTTAATAATAACATATAGATAAAATGAACATTCAAGCTAGAACCAGACATATATTAATGTAATTGTACAATGTGAAAGGAAAAATACACACACGTATGTGTGTGCATGTATAACAATAAATTTTGAAGCAGAGAACTGAGCACAACGTAGATCCTTCTTAATATAGTGTAGTATTTACATAAATTCTACAGTCTCCAACTTCTGCAGAGTCGCAGAGCCAACAACATTCTTCAATGAGCATAGAGTTGCAGTTACAAGAGACATTTACATCCACCACTATTTTCCATTAATCAATTCTTGGATGTGTGGAGAATAATCAACGAATTGGCTACATGTTGCATAGCAAGAATATCAAGACCTCATCAAAATTTGATGACTTATGATACACCCTTATAGCTTATTTTTGCTACCTTCAATGTGCATATGCTACTGTCTCATCAAACACCGACTGTCGGTGAACAATATCAACATGACGGAATAGTTGAATTTCGCACCTTGTTGCTTATACTTCAAGGTGTTGGAATCTGTCTGTAACACTGCTGTTCATAGTCTCCAGATCATTAGCACATGCAGCAGAAGCAGATTTACCATGTTCTATATGCTCCAAGAAGTCCATCACATGTGGATCGGTCCATGGACATCCCCGTGGCGCTTCGGAACCTGCCACCCAGCCAAGATGGCCTCCTTTTGGGGTTACAATCAACAAACAGTTTGAGTTCTCCTGAGGGAACAACAAAAAGATTAGCGGCAATCTATGCCTTCAAGCACAAAATACGCTGCGCATGCATTCATACAGTTGAGAGTTGAGCTGGTCTCAAGGCTCAAATATCACGTGATAAAGTTCTTTATGCCAACAGGATAATGGCACTAAAACATTAATTACTTGGTAAAAGAACTTAAATTTAGGGTTTTAAACCCAAAATCAACTTATATTAGGAGTACAATTGTTTTAAGAGATGATTGGTACAGGACTTCTTTAACATCCTAGGATCAAATGGACAATGCTAAGACTTTCACAAACAACAGAATGAGAAACTTGCAAGAACAAGAACAACAAACAAAAATAGTTTGGCAGAATAGCATATGCACATCCATAAACAATGAGAAAATATCAACAAATAAAATGGGATACGAGAATGAAGAATAGTGCACTACCTCAATATCTTTACGAGGGATTCCTCTGGATGGAGCAATTGGATCATTTGCAGCCTCCACAAATAAACAAGAGCAAGTTAAACTTCACATTTTTGTCTTAGTTAACACTTGCAGAATCCTAACAAGCATATCAAAAGAACTGGAGTGCTTTCATCTCCACCTTTCCCGCCCAGTCCCCACAACTTTTTCTTTTAATCAAAAGAAAAACCTAACACTTATGAGATTCTACTGAAGTTATTTGATATATACTACCAACACCTGATCTTTTCTATTATTAAGTTTTGATGGCAATATATACCATACTGACCAGAAATGAAGATCCACAGAGAACTGTGGAGAAAACTGTAGCGAAATTTCAAATTGCAGATGTATAGCATCTAAATCACTCATGATTTATTCTTAAGAATTGTCAGTGAAGATAGAAAAGCTACCACCTGAGATTCAAAAAGGCAAAACGCATTGTATTAATGAGATGGCATCACTTGTCGTACTTTTGACAGAGGACTGAATAGGATTAGTCCTTTTTAGATAGGTTGAGCAAGATGAATTATACATTGTTAATCCCTCTCTTTCCCCCTCATTTCTTTCTTCCGTTTCCTCCTTTTGGGGGAGAAGAGATGGAATATTGCTCTCTTGATCACAAAGAGATTAAAGATTATGCCATTGCAACCTCTAAACCAACTTGTCTCCGTGTCCAATAAAGATCCAGAAAGTCAAATTTGCCAAAATATGATTATCTATAATATATATCTTAGGGAGAGCAATAGTAGTTAGTGCAATGCTTTTTTCCTGAAACTGGTCCAATTACGTTGAATAAAAATCCTTCACATTTTATTAAGTGAAGTAATTCTTGATATTCAAATGAAAAGGGTGAAATGTTAGATAACTAACCAAATCGCATAAAGCGCATCCGCAATGTTGGAAAGCATCCTACAAGAGATAACTACAAGGGTGTATTGTCTAAAGGAAACACAACGTATAATATTTATTCTCTCTCAAGTTTCAGCTTTTTTGCATGGAATTTTAACTTGAATGATATGATATGATGTTCAGATTTTGCCAAAGGATGAGTGTGCTGACCATGATCCTAGACGTAAAAATGGCATCTGAAATACAATAAAAAACAAACAAAAAGGACATTGGATATGTAATATTTGGACTTTCTATATTTATTAGGGGGAAATATGTAATATGACTGGTGGAAGTGTTGTTATCTTGTTGTATCTGTTTCACTGCCATCTTGGTACCAGATGAATAGAAGACTTCACTTAATCAAAAAAAAAATAATTAACAAACAAAAAAAGGACATTGGATAGTTTTTGGCTAAAACAAGCTTACCTGGATACAAAGTAGAGGTGTACGGACATTTATAATGGAATTTGAGCTGCTTGAATTAGAATAGTAATCATCCACAGACTTGAATCCAAATGAAACTGCAAAATTCAAAAGCAATTACTTATAAGTTGAGATGCAATGATGTACAACTTTTTCTTTCCTGCATACAAGCATAAACACCTCGTGTCAGTCCATCATCAAATTCTCTGACAGTTTTGGCATTGGCAGCTAATGATATATTAAATTCGCCTTCCATGTCTTCAAACAGTAGAGCATGCCTATAATCAAGAGATCCAGTTAAAAGTGGTATAAGGTACGCCGAGGAAAAGGGGAAAAACTGAATTACACAGTTACTTTTTAAAAATTTTGCGGAGAGAATTCGCTAGAGCTCTGTCATAAACATTGTTAAAGCCCTTATGGAAGTCTTCGTCTGCTATGACCAAATTGAAAGGGTTGCACAAGGAAACAGCACCGGAGAGAAGACAAGAATGAGACTCCTGCAAAGGAATGATAAAATATGAGAGATGGGCAATATATGGAGTCATTCCTTTGATTATTAAGAGTTAAGGGATTTATCATTCAAAGGGAAGTAGAATATAAATTCTATTTTACTTGTTGGAATTGAATTTGAATAAAGAATTAATAGAAGATGAAATTGAAAGGTAACAGAGACCAAGATAACAACTCCAGGGAATGCCCGCATACACATGACAATCAGTTGGGTGCCCCCATCTTTAGTGTCTAACTAAATTGGCAATAGATGCATCATTAAACAAACAAAATTAGAGAACAGAATCCTTAACTAAGAGTTCAAGCACTGCATCCACTCCGACTTTATTTTCATCATTTGCCTATAGATGGAAATGATGGAAATGAAATGGGTTTATTACAGAATAAAAGTTTATTGTCTTTGAAAATACAAATAGTGCAAGTGTGCAACTGATAGGCAATATTGTTTGAGACAAATACAGCAGCTGGTACTCAACTTGTTTTCCCCAAAAAGTTGTTCAAATTTGATCTTCAGAACAAAAGGCACAATGTTGATCCAGGACAAATGAATGGAGACAGCAGTGCTAAATCACCTAAGGTAGCTGATTATATAACCAGCTACAGAGATTACATCATAACATTTATTATTTCAAAAACACGCACAAGTATGATTTATTGCCGACTTCTCTTCTGCAGATGTTGCTTGTAGGGTGTCTCAGAGATAACTTTCAATATGATAATTAAAAAAAAATAGCTAATAAGGAATTAAAAAGAATTGAAAAGGAAAAAATATTCCAGTTCAATGAATGCTCCTTTATTTGAGAGGGTAATACATGCTACCAAAATACCCCCTTCTAGTTAGTTTTCTTAAACAGCAAGATTAACTTCTTCTTTATGTTGACTTAAATCAGGATTCAGTGGAATCATCTCAATAACTTGGCGACAGAGCTGATATTTGGGCAGATCACATATCATTTGAACTGTCGAACTACTCAAAATGCATGGAGAAGATACAAGGATTTTGGGTGTTCAGACAGAGAAGAAGCATGAAGAATCGTCGTGAGGAAAATAAGCCATATCGATGAAAACATAGAACACCATTACTAAGCACCCAAGGGTGTGGCCTAGAGGGAACACTATTACTAGATGCAGAGGCGGAGTTAGAAATTGAAGTTTATGGGTTCTGAACTTGCAACCGAACCCATAGCTCATTAGTTACCGGGTTCGCAATTGAGTATTTACACATATTTAATGGATTTTCTTATACAAATCCAAGGTTTAAACAAAAGCTACTGGGTTCGTCCGAACCCGTACATAGCACTCTCCCTCCGCCCCTGACTAGATGGATGTGGATGGTCTTATTATCCAAAGCTTAAAAACTCCAATTCCACTGACAAACACCCAGCCATACTGAACCACCAGAAATAGTTGAGAAAAAGAAGACTGGAAAACATCTGAACATTCTTCCTAAGTATACTCTATGGTGTTGTTATGCTAGCATTAACACACAGAGTCTTCACCTTTTCTCAATAAACTGTATGATGTTAGCCAGATTACTAATACTCAGCAGAAGTACAGTACTAAATTGAAATATGCCAACAAGTTCACCATAGCATAATACCAGACTTAAATTCTCTAAAACAGCTCGTACATAGATGCATGGTAGATCAGTACAAGGACAAAATGGAGGAGGAAGACTGATAAGCACAAATTGAATTAATTGAGTTACCTGTCCCAGATAGCGAACTAGAATATTTGCTCCAAGAGACCAGCCTATTGCATATAAATTTGCCTCTGGATAGCGATTGCTGACATGTGCCACCACTTCATATATATCACCAAGAAATGAAGCAGAATAGAACTGCATGAATTAGCTCATCAATGAAGACGAATAGAAAAAATTTAACATGTCAAAGATGATTGGATTTTGACTTTACCTTAAAGATGAAGGATAATTTTTTGAAATAACATGTTGCATCCTAATTAGATCGATTCATGACCAGTTGTATCTTTCATCTCAACAGATTGTCAAGCTAAAAAAATTTAGAATACTTTTGACCGGTACCATTTGAGAGATTAAGCAGATCATGTTTGGGAATAATGGAGTTAATTATCTGAATATTCAAAAAGTTCAATGAGGAGCTATAATGATAAGCAGACTTTAGAAAGTCTACTATACACATCAAGAACTATGGAGTACAGAACTCATTCTAATGCCTAAAATGGCAATAGACATTGATTTTCTACTTTGCCTAGGTATTACCTCCACTAAAATTGTTGAGCTTCAACATAAAGCTATACTTGAGACTCTAGTATAAGTCATATTGTGAGTTTGAACATGCATAGATGGAGAAAAATGTCTAGACTGTTATCATCTCTTGCTTCTTCCCCTCCCCTATCCCTGATACCCACTCTAATTTCCTGAAAAAATATCTGCATTGAAATCTCAAATTTCTAAAGGATCTTCACTGTATCCTTGAAGGTCGGATCAATCATAAGTTCTTGCCTTCTTGGACAATCACGTCCTTTTTTGTTTAAATTATATAACCATCATGGCATGCATCCACTGCCTGTAATTAGATTTCAACTGGGCGAGGATATGTAATTTAAGTGGACACCAGATTGTAAAGATCTTCACATGAAGGTCTTGGACAACTTTTGAGAACCATTACTCAGGACACTTCATGCTCAACTCACCCTTTCTTCTCAACTAAAGTATTGAATTAAGAGAAGGGACAAATCTTCCTTAGTTGAACTTGTTGAGCTATAGGGTAAACTGAAACCTTTGTTTGACCGTTATTCTACTTGTTTTCATTCACTCTGCGTTAAACCGTTTTTGACATCTCTTGGTGAAAGAAACTAGATCATGTCAAGCCAGTGTTGTGAAAAGCGCCCGCTTCAGCGCTTAAAGCGCGAAGTGAGACCTTGGGCGCTTCTATGATGTGAAGCGTAGCAGGTTGAATAAAGCAAGCGCTTCTGCGAAAAAAGCGAGAAGTGTAAAAGCGACAGTAGCAAGCGCTTCTGCATATTAAGGGCTGCCAACGTAAAAAATTTAAAAAGGTCATCAAGTTCAAGCCCAGGTATGTGATTTCTTCCTCCTCCTCCTTTTTCTTTCACTGTTTCACTCCCAAAATAGCAGTGAAATGCTGGCAAATTTTTTTTTCCCTTCAGTTCTTCCTGTTCTCATTCTCTTCTTAGTGATAAATTGCAGCGAAATGCTGCCCAATTTTTTTCGTTTCAGTTACTGCCATTTTTTTCATTTCATTTAATCTTGTAGAAGAATAGGATGCTCATTTTGTGCTTTAATTGATGCTACTCTTTAGTTTTTACATTGAAGTATTGAACATTTGCTTACAGTTACATGTGTTGTCTATGCAGTATTTATTTTAATATATTTTTTTTCAAATTCCGCTTCACTTCAAAAAAGCGAGTGCTTCGCTTCTCGCTTTAAGCGAAAAGAGGCTTGTCGCTTTTCCTCGCTTCACGCTCTTCACAACACTGTCTCAAGCAAGGGGAACCAACATATCTTTGAAGAAAAATTTTCAAGCCCTTCTGAAGTGGAAAATCCAACTGAAAGAGTATTAGCATTAAAAAAATATATAATCAACTTAAACGAGATTAATTGAAAATTAATCCACTGGACGGAGAAACTTATACTTGGGTCATAAAGATCATTCTTTTAGCAAGCATATGAAAATCACATAAAACAAAAGGCATCAATGCCCTGATGCCAGAAAAGGAAAAAAGAGCAAAAAGAGCAGTCATATAGATAATCGTTCTACTCGTTAGATTTCTCCAGATACTTCTGCTTTTCTTCTTCAGTCATGAAAGCAGTGAGAGGAAAAGACTTTCCAATTCCTACAGGAGTCTTGAAGTAAACTTTATTCTGAGAAGGATCCTCAATGCTCATCTCAACTATTGGCACCCACAGGAATAGCTGCTTACTCTTAATTCCAGTCATTTTCTTCATCCTGTTTTTCTCCACATAGGCAGTGACCTCGGTTGCATAGCTAACTAGAGTTTTTGTTGCGACGAAGTAATGCTCATATGGAGCCTTTTGTTTCATCCACACAAATCCAGTTTCGCGAACATAACCACATTCTTCAAGGTCTTTAAGAGGAAGGGTGCCCTGGGGAAATCCCAACTCTTTCAGGAGCTCAAGAGAATTGCTATAGCACTCTTCGGCTCCATATACAATTTCTGCTCCTGCACGCTCATCTTGGCATGATTTTTTATCACTACCCATTTTGAAGTGGTATACGATCAAAAAGCTGTGTATTGTAAGGCAGCAATTTAGGTTATGGTATATTGCTTAAATAGACACAGAGCAGGAAGGACAGATTAAGGAAAAAGCAAGGTTGTTGGCTGGAAATTGCACAGAAGGGATCAAGTTGATAGTGTTGTTTGCCTAACCATTTGACCAAAAAAATTCCAAAAGACTGGAGTCAATGGACAGCACAAAAGCAATCAACTGTCCCCAACAAACACTTCAAGCTGCCAATTCCCATCAGCCACATTAACTAAACCATACCATTTTCTTTCCTTAACCAAAAAGTCTGAATAACAGATATAACATTGGCCAAACTCCACCATAAATCACATCAAAACTAATACTATCGGCAGGGAGGAAATTAAAGACCAAATCTTTATTGATATATCAATCAACCAAAGTAATTAAAGACCAAAATGAGAGAGTACCTGGGGAGTAGTGACAGGACTATCTCCACAGCCTCTGCTATTGAACACCACAACTCTCCAACCTTTACTTCGAGCTCTCATCAGCATATGCCTCACATATGAGTCATCGCTTCCCCCAGTCAGACCTGGCTGCAATTACCCCCGTTAGTACACTTCCAATTCGTTATGTGCACCCTTACTTTTAGCATCATGAATCCATAAGCAGTGGGTGCATATGTAGTACACTTTCCTTTTTAATATGTTGTTTCAAAAAGAATGACATTTTTCTATATTTAGAAATAATTTAACTGAAAAAAATCCCATTTTAAGCTTAATGGCATGATTTAAGGATAGAGTAAAATTCACGAGCTTTTAAAGTACATGTATGGCACAAACAAAACTCTACTCATGAGCACCAATGGTTTCGAATTTTGTATAAATGTTTAATTTTTTGAAAATTTTTGACTGCATATATAGCTTGTGCCCAATTAGCAATAGAAAAAAGACGCACAAGCAAAATGAGCAGCGGAGAATCGGCAGGTAAACGGCGATCGTCGCCGGAGACCCAATCGAGAGCGACGGAGCCATCATCCTTAGTCCGAAGACACTCTCGCCGGAGACGAACGTCAGGAACGGACCTAAAAAAAGCTGCAAAAATAGTCTCTATATGCCGATTCGAAGCGACGATAGGATAAGAATTGTAGAGATTATCAAGTGATGTAAACGCAGGGAGAAATTTCTCTCGAGCTCCGCCGATGACTTCTAATGATGGATGGGGAATTCTGGCGGCTGACATTGTGGTGACGTGGCAGGGAGGGGAGGAATTAGAGAGGTATTTGAGGTGGCGGAAGGAGGAGGAGAAATGGGTGGCTGAGCCTAAGGTGGCTCTAGCCATTGGTTGGTGGGAACTGTATGTATGTCCCCACTGATCGTTGCTTTTTTAACTTTGTAGAATTTTATACGAGGTGTGCCAGTGAAATGGGCTTGTGAATCTGGCTTTTGGGCTATTTTTTATGATAAATTTGAATAAAGTACTATGCTAATTAGCTATCTATAAATATCATTTGCTATATTACGAATGGTAGATACGTTTATAATTGTTATAATATGTATTAGATATATTTAAGCTGCTATATTCATAAATACAGTAGCAAAAATAGGCATGAATAGGGAAGTCCAGTTGTTGTATTCGAGTGTATTTCGATTGTATTCATGGTATGAAACATGGGATCACGGCTCGACAGATTATTTTATTCGACTTTATTCACGGCATGAAATAGGGGATTATACTATTTTTAAATGGAAAGTGAATCAATTAACATAATAGACTCCTAATATAACTCAACAAACTCAATTATAACAAACAAATTTGGTATTTCCTTGTATAAAAAAAATTCTCAACCGAAAAATACCCCAAAAACATAGCAATTTCCAGAGAAATTATATAATACATCTGAATACATAAATTATATTAATTAAAAAAATATATGAATACATTCATGGCATATAGTGAGACAGTGAATACAATGAAATACATATAATACAGTGGGAAATACAATTAAAAAAGGCAGTGAATACAATGAAATACATGGAATATAACGAGATACATTGAATTACAATGGAAAAAAATAATGAATACAATAAAATACATGAAAATACAGCGTGATACGTTGAAAATACATTAAAATATATTAACAGAAAATCAAGTTGCTCAGTCCCAAACTCCGTCATCTTTGTTCAAGAACAAACCCTAATTTCCGGCGAATCTCATCCTCCACCAACACCCTTTTCTTTAAACACATCACCACTCTCTTCTTGTTCTTGTTTAGCCTAAGACCCATCATCAAGAATCTGTGTTTGTATACCGTCAACACTTTCTATGTCTTCATTGAACAAATATTGATCAGTTTTAGAAAAAAGTTTCCACAAATCAGAAGATGATGGCTCTGAATCTTTGCCATTGTTGTTGTTACCTGTGGAGAAGAAATGTGAGTTGTTGGGAAAGAAACATAGCTTGGGAATGGGAAGAGAGGCTATAGTGGAAATGAGTTTAGGGTTTAAGAAGTGGGTTTTGGAATGAAGCAGGATTAAGAGTAGGAGGTATAAGGATTTGGAGATGAAACGAGAGAGCATTGTGGAGACTTGACAAACATAAACAGAGGAAGATGGCGGCGAGCGGAGACCTCGATTGTGTTTTCAGGGAAGGGGGGAAGAGAATGGCATGTATCAAAGTAGAGAGAGAAATAAAATAATGTAACTGAATAGCGTATTTAGTGGCTTAGGGGTAGAAGGTAACCAAAATTAGATATTTTGCTGTAAACATTAAAAGGTATCTATAGAATATAATTTTTTTTAAATGGTATTTATTTAAAATAAATAAGGTGTTAACCTTTACTATAGGAAGTAAAAATTTCTTTTTTTATTAGGCCGAATCCAGCCCAACTGGCTTTTCTTTCCTTCCTCCTTGGTTTTATGTAAAAATATCACGGGCTAGTCAGTTTTCGGATTGGTCATTCAAAAATAGCCAGCATTTACAAAGTCATTGAAAATTAATCACTAGTTTGCTGTAACACGAAAAATTCCAGCATAATATACTGGAGATCGGTGCACCTGTATATGAACTTACAGCATATTATGCTTGAACTCTAACACGCAGAAAGTTCTAGCATAATATACTGGAGATTGGAGCATCTGTACATGAACTTCCAACATATTATGCTGGACCAGTATATTATATTGGAACTACAATATATTATGCTGGAAGTCAAGTATATTATACTGGAATTAATTTCAGTATATTATACTGGAGTATTTTCCGCATTTTGAACAGTGTTTTCGTTCAAATTTATTTTTACATGAAAAGTAGCTAAATTTTGATTACTTTTGAAACTAAGACTATTTTTGAATGACCACTTGTAAAACTTCTCCCTGGTTTTCTTTGAGCTTTTTAACTTGGACTCTAAAAACTTTATTTTGCAAATGATTTTAAAAATAATAGGAGTATTATCACTTTTAGCCTGCGTCAGAAACTATTTATATTTGGTAGTCGTAAAAATATAAAAAACCTGTATAATTCTTGTATATAACATAGAGAATGTATGTATGTATGTATATATATATATACAAGTTTTGTATATTTTTTCTGCTATTACTTTTATAGCGAATATCCAAAATAATATTAGGCGATTATTAAATCATGTGATAAAATTATACATTAAAATGATTTCCTGATACTTTAGTTAATGGTATCTTGCGAATATGAGATCTAAAATGGAAGAAAATAAATAAGTAAGTAAATAAATATTATAAGAGCCAAAAACAATAAACTGAAGTTATATCTACTTATCATTCAAAATTTCAAGTAATACGATGCTAATGTGATACTTTATCTAAAAATATTTCTAAATAATCACATTCTTTTACAAAAAATGTAAATATATGTTTACAATTTTTAAGGATTTTAAAATATCATTACATGTTTTCTATCAAATTGACCGTTTTTAAAAAAAAAAATCTTCTTCTTTTAATATCGATAGTGTTATGAAATAAAGCAATTTAGTAAAACCTGAACAAGAAATAAAAACAATTAAATAAAACATGAACAAGAAATAGAGATAGAGAGAAGGAAGAGATTTTATTCTTCAATTGTGTGTATTTTTCGATCTATTGCAAAACCTTTATATAGGCATGAAAAATGAAGAAATATGTCATTGAACATAGAAAATATATCATTGAATATGCCATTAAACATTTGACATGAAGAACATGGAGGAAGCGTAGACATTCACCATAATATGATATTTATCATAACACTCCCCCTTGGATGTCCATAAATAATGTGCCTCGTTAAAACCTTATTAGGAAAAAAAATTTAATGAAGGAAAAAGAGTACACATATTTAGAAATGCGCCTTTTGGTTGTCTCGTTAAAACCGTTGCAAGGAAAACATGGTGGGACAAAACCTTGTAAGGAAAAAAGAGTACACCACGTATTAACTCCCCCTGATGAGAGCATCAGTTCACATCCTTCAGGCTTCGCATCCCAAACTTGTACGCCAGTTTCTTGAAGGTTGACGTCAGTAGAGATTTGGTGAACAAATCAACCATATTATCACTTGAATGAATCTGTTGCACATTGATATCACCATTCTTTTGAAGATCATGTGTGAAAAATAATTTTGGTGAAATGTGTTTTGTCTTATCTCCTTTTATGAATCATCCCTTCAATTGGGCTATGCATGATGCATTGTCTTCATGCAAAATTATGGATAGTTTGTCACACTTCAAACCATATTTGTCTCGGATAAGATATATTATAGACCTCAACCAAATACATTATCGACTTGTTTCATGAATAACAATTATCTCAGTATAATTAGAAGAAGTAGCCACGATTGATTGCTTAGTCGATCGTCAAGATATGACAGTGCCTCCACATGTAAACACATAGCATGTTTGAGATCAAGCCTTGTGTGTGTCAGTTAAATACTCTACATTGGCATAACCAACAAGATCGGGATTGTAATCATTGCCATAAAATAAGCCCATATTGGTAGTCCCTTTTAGATAACACAATTTGTGTTTGATTTCACTCTAATATCTCCTTGTATGAGCAGAGCTATATCTTTCTTAGACATTAACTGAAAACGTTATGTCACGCCTTTAGTGTTAGCAAGATACATTAGTGCATCAATTGCACTAAGATATGATACTTCAGGACCAACAAGTTCTTCATTATTTTCATGAGGTCGGAATGAATCTTTATTTATATCGAGTGATCTCACAACCATCGGGGTAATAAATGGATGTGCTTTATCTATATAAAATCGCTTTAAAATCTTTTCAGTGTATGTTGATTGATTGATAAAAATTTCATCTTTCATATACTCAATTTGTAGACCAAGATAAAATTTTGTCTTTCCAAAATCTTTCATTTCAAATTCTTTCTTTAAACAGTCTACTGCTTTAGGAAGTTGCGTGGGAGTTGTAATGATATTTGAATCATCAACATACACAGAGATTATAACAAATTCAAATCTAGATCTTTTTATAAAGATACAAGGACAATTTGAATCATTCTTGTACCTTTCTTTCAATAGGTACTCACACAGGCGATTATACCATATACGCCCTAATTGTTTCAATCCGTATAAGGATTTTTGAAGCTTTATTTAATAAATTTTTTGGAAACATTAATATGCTTCAGAACAATTTTAATCCTCCAATGATTTCCACTATACGCATATCAAGTTTTCATGTATTGCCAGATTAAAACCTGAAATAATTATATCCACCATAAGAGAACATGTCTTCATATAATAAATGTGAGGATATTTACTAATTTTCTTGTGTCACAAGTCGTCTTTATATCTGTCGACTTGAATTTTTTTTTGCATAAGAACACATTTATACCTCTATTGGCTTTATACTTTTAGGTGTTGGGACTATCCGCCCAACTTTACATTTTTCAAGTGAAGTCAATTTTTTTTGCATATTTTTCATTTGGCCAATCATTTATGTGCCCAAATTTCATAACAGATTTGAACTCAAGATCCTCGTCAATATTAATAATATTTAGTGCTACATTATGTTAACAATATCGTCGACAATCATTTTATATCGGTTCAATTATTACACAATAAAGACATAACTTATTGAGATCTCTTTATCTCATTATTTTCAGGTACCCGAGCCTCTCACATGAGGTCTTCGAAGTGTTATGTCGTGGTGCCCTTCTAAAGTACTTGCCTCCTTATTATGACCATATTGAACATTTGTTCCTCTCATTCTTCAAGGAGTTTTATCTTTGGAACCGATTGGTCTGTTACGCTTCATGCGTGCCATAGACTCTGTCCCTCATGGACTTTATTCTATTTGGAACATTAGCAGTTGAAATATGACATTTTGCTTTGGGTCAGCAAATGCGTCTGGTAATAATTTATAAATTAA